CTCCAATACAATTTATTTACCTTTGCCCATGCTTGCAATTCCTCCTAGATAGTGTTAAACATAAGAGTGAGATTTCAAAGAAATCCCAGTAGCACAGAATCACAATTATCATGCATTCCTGCAAACACTACGTGCAATGCTTTTGTGCATTTATCTTGTTTATATGTTCATGCTTTTATGCCATGGAAAGTAAGCTATCATACACATATTCAATGGACATAAGGACAAGGCAACATAATTCAAACATTGCAATCAACATTTGCAATAAAGCTTAGTCACATCATGGCACACATTGCACACATTCACATTAACACATCAATGTAAGCAAGAAAACAATCAAAGTGTAATTCAATGCTACCTTTTGGCACTTGGTCCTTGATTTCCTTCAAGTTCAAGATGTTTTATTGAGGATTTGGCAAGGTACCTATCAAACCAACACCAATGCCAACCATTCAACAATTATTCAAACACATTCCCTATTACTTAAACATTAAACCCTTTTTCTTTAGATTTTTTTTGGCCTAATTGTTTTCCTTTTGATTCAAGAAACCTCCTTGGCCATTCCTACATGGTTTTTCATGTAGAATTCAAATATCAAATCAAATTTTACAAAATCAAATCCCTTCCTTAGGTTCTGGTTAAAACAGAAACGAATTTTTCTAAGGAAAATGTCAAAATTTCTAACTTTGATTTTTAATGCTTTCAAATTCAATTCCTCCATATAACCCTACATCAAAAATGCCCAAGGAGTTCAATAGAAGCATTAAAACCATCAAAATCCAATCACAAGTCCATATATTCAAGATGGCTGAACACTTCCTCTTAGGTTCATAAATTTCCACATTTGATTCCAATGGATTTGAACATACTTCCTTAGCATAATCCTACATAAAATCACATTTTAAATCCATTGTAACCATTAAAGCTTATTGAAACAATTCCTACCCTTGAGTTCTTGAGTTGGCTGAACTAAATACTCATAGGTCCTAGGGTAATTTCTTCCATAACCCATTCAAAACAGCACCAAACATCAACAACACAAACTTACACTCAATTTGCTATCCTCTCCTAGAACTTCCAGCATAACAGAAATGAAACAGCACTTCCCCCTCAAATTAAGTCACGGTTTGACCATGGAAAAAACATCAAATTAAAGCCTAAACATACCTTAAGGAGTCTTGGATTAAAGCTTGATGATTAACCTTGGATTGGAAGTGATTTGAAGAGTGTTTGGAAGCCAAGAAGAAAATTGTGCAAAACCTCCCCTCTATTGTCCCAATTTTGTCCGAATTTTGAGTGCCTTATGGGGGTATTTATAGACCTCATTTGCTTCCCAAAAACCTGCCCTTGGGCAGCTATTTTTGCCTCAAATTAAGTGCAAAGGTTGGCCAAAATGAAGAACAAATCCTAGCCACACATGCTTTGACTCACTTTCCAAGAGAGTTGATCCAATGGTTGAAAATTTGCCCAGCACACAAGCCACTTGTCCTGGTCAAGATGAGCACGAATTTGGGCCTTTTTGGAAGCTAACTAAATGGTAAAAACTGATTAAGAAGTAATGGAATTGGTTAGGGTAATTTTAAAAATTATTTGGTCCCATAATACCCAATTTCTTGCCCCCTATTACGGAAAAATAGCTAAGGGCTTCCAAAATTCCATTTATTTTCATGATAAATCCATATTTATTCCAAAAGTGTGATCTGAAAGTTTTGGGAATTTTTCAAGACCTCTAGATATTTATTTTACATTTTCTCTGAAATCGGGTCTATACCGATAGGAATTCAGAAATAAATTCTCCATAAATTATTTCCTACATTTCCAATACATGGAAACAATTTTATGAATTCATATATATTCCTAGGGAGTGTATCCATATTTTTACTTTAATTTTTGGAGTCCTTAGGTAATTAAAATAATTATATCACTTTAATTCCCCTTTATTTTTCCCTATTTTCCCAAAAATAATTATTTTTTTGGGAATTTTCACCAAAATTTATTTTGGGCTATTCTCACTCCCAAAAGATCATAGGCGACTCAAAAACCCCTAATTCCACCTTTTTCTATTTTTAGGGAAAATTTGAGAACTTTTCTCAAAATTACTGTTTTGCCCCTGGGGACCTGATAAAGTCGGTTTCGTCCCGTTTTGAGTTTTCATGCTTTACTCATACCTTATGCTTATCAATCATATCTTATTTTGCACATTCCCATTACCAGGGTTCCAAATTTTGGGATGTTACAAACTATGCTCCTTCAGCTAGCCATGATGAAATGTACTGGTCGCCGCGACGAACCCATCACAGTGTTGCAAAATCAGAGTGCCCATCTACTATTGCTATTCCACCTTCCTACTTACTCCATAGAAGAAGTCTTGGTTTAAGGGCCATAGAAATTCCTACTTCACCTTGTGAACCAATCTCTTACACCATTTCTTCTCACACTTTGAAATATCTATTTGATAGTGCCCTAACTTGTTGTTCAAGTGATGTAGGTATGGTTTCCAAGGCCATTGTTAACAATGATTAACAAATGGTTGATTCAACCCTTTGAGAAATGGAGGGATTAGTGGTGGACTCAGTCAACCTTGGGGTTCATTCCATGGCAGAGAAGGGAGGGGGGAGTAATCTTGCATGTTCTTCCATTGATATTTCTCAATTGATTCTTTTTTTAGTCCAACTCATTACTCTTAAGCTTAAACCCTTATCACCCAACCTTAAATATGCTTTCTTGGAATCTAATGAGCAACTCCCAGTCATAATTGCCAACTACCTCTCCCTAGAAGAGAAAGACATGTTGCTCAATGTTTTAAAAAAGTATAAGAAAGCCATAGAATGGACTCTAGCCGATATACCTGCTATTTGCCCAACTGTCTGCACTCATAGAATCCTTTTAGAGGAAGAAGCAAAACCAGTAAAACAAAACCAAAGAAGAGTCAATCCTTTGATTAAGGAGGTAGTTAAAAAGGAGATCTCAAAGCTCCTAAGTGCTGGAATTATTTATGCCATCTCTGATAGCAAATGGGTTAGCCCTGTTCAGATAGTACCCAAAAAGAGTGGGTTGACTGTAGTGAAGAATGAAAATAATGAACTCATACCCACTAGAGTCCAAAATACATGGCATGTCTATATTGACTATAGGAAACTTAATGATGCTACACGCAAAGACCATTTTCCCATTCCCTTTGTTGACCAAATGTTAGAAAAATTAGCAGGCAAATCCCACTATTGTTTTCTTGATGGTTTTTTTAGTTATTTTTAGGTACCCATTGTACCAGAGGACCAGGAGAAGACAACCTTGTGATTTTAGGACTTATGCTTACAAAAGAATGCCATTCGGACTCTGCAACACCCCTGGAACCTTTCAAAGTGCATGATGTCGATCTTCAATGATTTATTGGGGGATTGCATAGAGGTATTCATGAATGACTTCAGCGTGTATGGTACCTCTTTCACTGCCAGAAAAGGTTTTACAAAGATGTATTGAAAAGAAGCTAGTACTGAATTTTGAAAAATGCCACTTCATGGTCAATGAGGGCATAGTTTTGCGCCATATGATATCTTGCAAAGGCATAGAAGTAGATAAGGTAAAAATTGAAATTATTTCTTCCCTCCCATTTCCTACTAATCTCAAAGAAATTAGACCCTTTTTGGGGCATGCAGGGTTCTATAGGAGATTTATAAAAGATTTTAGCAAAATTGCCCTACTACTTTTAAACCTTTTGAAAAAGGATGCCGAATTTGAATTTAAGGAAACCTGTAAAATTGCCTTTGATACCTTGAAAGCTAAATTGATTTCTCCACCCATCCTAGTTGCTCCAAATTGGGACTTACACTTTGAGATTTCTTGTGATGCCTCTAACTTTGCTGTTGGAGCCATCTTAGGACAGAAGAAGGATAAAGTCTCAAGGGTGATCGCCTATGCATCAAAAACCTTGGATGCTGCACAAGTCAATTACACAACCACTAAGAAAGAGCTTTTTACTGTAATTTTTGCTCTAGATAAATTCAGACCTTATTTGATTAATTCAAAGATTATTGTATTCACTGATCATGCAGCAATATGGTATCTTTTCAAGAAATCGTACTCAAAACCTTGGTTGCTTCGTTGGGCTCTCCTTTTGCAAGATTTTGATCTTGAGATCAAGGACAAAGCTGGAGCTGAAAACCATATGGCTGATCATTTGAGCCGGTTACCCTTAGATACAAGGAGAGTTGATAAATCTGACCTTATCTTTGATTCTTTTCTAGATATTATGTTTCATAGCTCTTAGGAACATTGGTATGCTCACATGGTAAATTATCTCATGACCGGACTAACCCCACCTTCTGTGTCCTCTAATCAGGTATAGAAACTCCAAGCCGAGTCCAAATACTATGTATGGGATGAACTATTCCTCTAGAGGCTATGTGGGGACTAGATTATAAGACAGTATGTGCCCCAAGAAGAGTAATAGCAGATTATCTCTGCTTGCCATACCTTGTCTTATGGGGGGCACTTTAGCTTAAAGAGGATAGTTAGGAAAATCTTAGAGAGTGGGTTTTATTGGCCTTCCTTATTTAAAGACTAGTATGAATTCTGTAAATCTTGTAAGACATGCTAAAAATTTGGGGAAGTGAGTTGGAAGCATGAGATGCCTCAAAAGCCCATGTTATTATGTGAAATGTTTGATGTTTGGGGTATTGACTTTATGGGCCCCTTTCCTCCTTCCAATGGCTTCAATTATATCCTCTTAGCAATTGATTATCTTTCCAAATGGATAGAGGCCATTCCCACCTGAAAAGATGATGCCAAAACCGTAGTTGAGTTTGTGAAATCCAACATTTTTAGTTGGTTTGGTATTCCTAGGGCTTTAGTGAGTGATCAAGGAATCCATTTCTGTAATAGGCTTCTTAGTACTACTTGTTAAGTATGGGGTCACACACAAAACCTCTATTGCCTATCATCCACAGACAAATAGCCAAGTAGGGGTATCTAACTAAGAAATCAAGCGGATCTTAGAGAAGATGGTAAAGCCTTCAAGAAAAGATTGGAGTTTGAAGCTTAATAATGCATTGTGGGCTTACAGAATAGCATTCAAAAACCCTATAGGGATATCTCTATACAGCTTTATCTATGAAAAATCATGCCACTTACCAGTGGAAGCGGAGCACAAAGCTTATTGGGCTGTCTCAACATGCAACAAGAAAATGGACAAAGCTGACAAGGAAAGGCTATTTCAGCTTCAAGAGATAAAAGAACTGAGACGAGAGGCCTATGACAACTCCCGGATATACAAGGAAAAGTGCAAGGCCATTCACGACAGTGGTATCTTAAGGAAGAATTTCAAGCTTGGTGAAAAGGTCCTTGAATTCAAAGCCCGTTTCAAATTTAGAGACGGGAAGTTGAAGGAGAGATAGGACAGACCTTACACTATCAGCAAGGTTCTTGGCTATGAAGCTTTTAGGCTGAAGGATGAAAAGGATAGAACTACATATCTAGCCAATGGACATCTTCTCAAGCTTTTCTATGGCAAGCCTGCAGAAATGTAACCCCAAGTTGTTTCTTTCCTATCCTTATCCTCTATCATTTTGAGATTGCTTGTGATATCAATTATTGCTTAGCTTGTTGGATTTGTGTGAGCGAGGAAACTCTCTAGTAGTGTTGATGTTCTTTGCTTTTTTAGTTTTTTTTGTTTGCTTTTTATTGGTGTGCTTCTTGGTTTTGTTCTGTTCCTCTCCTATTTTGCTGCAAGTTTTAACCTGAGTGGTGCTTTATGTTGCTTTTCTGGTTGATGATTACTGCAATATGCTATTTTAGTGGTGGTTTTGGTTTAATTTAGAGGGTTTTTATTGCTGGGACTTGTTTTGCTAAGGGTAGTGGGTCAGTGGTTTGGTATAAGGGCTTAGAATTCAGTGTTCGTTTGCTAGAAGGGTTGTTAGAGGTTTCTCAAGGTTGCTCTCGGTCTAAGTTATTCGTCGTGACTAACACTTCGTTTGTCTCAACCAACTCTACCTTTCCTGACTTCTCGAATACCTCTAAACAATTTTAGTCGTGACTAAAACTCTGTTTGGTCGTGATGAAAATACTTTATTTTCAGAAACTCCAGACTCTCGTTTTTCTATTTTTTTCTTGTTTATTTAGTGAAATTCCCCCTTTGCCCTTCGAGCACTGCCCCAAAGCCGTCCAGATTCTTTTAGGCACCCAAAAACCCTAGGCCTTTTAGTCTTTTCACCTCCCAAAACCATAATTTCTACAGTTCCCCTCCCTCGAAACTATCCAATCATTTTGCCTGCTCTGCTCTTTGCCTAAATAGTTTCCTCTTCGCCTCAGCCTGCTTTACTTCCATCCATTTTGCAAGCAACCTTTCGTGCTCTTCCCCAGGGCTTCCATTGCTAATCTAACCTTCCTACTCCACCCTTTTCCTAATTTATTGAAAGTAACTACGGTCTCTTTCTCCCTACTCTTTCTATTGTTTAGTTCTTAGTTTTTAGAGGAAGGGTGATCGATTTCTTGCTGGTTTGCATATGGAGGATAGTATTTCTGGTGTATAAATTGTTGCTGGACTATTTTTAACTGATAAATTGAAGTGGTTTGCAAGTTTTGTGCTTAGCATTGCTGTATTTTTTGGTTTCTCTACTTCAATCCTGGTTTTTGAGAACTTCTGTCATATTTCGTCACGGCGAGATCTGCTTATTCATCACGACCAACTATTTTTACAGAAGCTAGAGCAAGGACCATCATGCATATTCATCGCGACCAAGGTTCTTGTTTGGTCACGACTAATGGGTTGAAACCTGTCTATTCTAGGTTTCTCTGACTAGTTTTAAACTACACTTACCATCAATTTCTTTTAATTCTTTTGAACCTTTCTTCAAACCAGTTCATTTTGCTCAATTCTAGTTGGGTAGCATATAGAGCAGTGTAGTGTCTTAGGATTTGTCTAACTTAGTTTCTTTTTCCTTTCTAGGAGTTTAGGAAGTTTGTTTTGGTGTTTTTCTTTGTTCATGTGTGTTTGTGTCTCGTGTGTGCTATTTTACTTTTATAGATGCCTCCTCATACTGCCCCGGCTGAAATTAAAGAGCAAGCCCGAGCCATTATTTATTCTCAAAACTTGCCGCCAGAGAGGGAATTCACAGATTCTGATGAATGTGATTTTATCAATTGGCCATCAAAGGGGGTTTTGGAGAAATGATAAAAAAAAGAGAGAGCTCGGTAATAAGTACTTGATTAGAGAGTTTTACACTACCACAAGGGTTGAGGGTACACTAATGATCAGGCTGCGCCAAATGGGTATACAATTAATAGAGGAAGCTATTCACCGATATTATCATTTGTGTAAGGTGAAGGAGTGTAAATTCCAACACTACAGAAAGAATTTAACGGATGTTGACTGGGACGATGTCCTTAGGACTCTGTGTGTGGAGGGTGAAACTTAGGCCGAAAGGGGCAAGGACCAGGTATACCTCGAAAGGAAGGTTATGAACAAGGAGGCCCATATCTAGCTAAACTTTATGTGCTATAATGTTATGCCTAGTGCCCACATATCTGACACTACTAAGGAAGGTGCCTTGCTCTTGTACTTGCTGATGGCGGGGGAACCAGTTGACGTTTCTCTTATTGTTCTGGAGTCTATTCTATAGTGTGCTCGCTCCACCAGAGCCAATCAAGTGTTCCCTCACTTGATCTACGAGCTTTGCATTAAAACAGGAATGCCGTTGGAGGACGATATGAGTTATTTGAGGGAATCCAAACTAAATGCCACGAGCCCTCCAATAAGCAGGCTGTAGAGGTGCGTAGCAGGAAAAAGGATAAGATAGTTGCTGAAGACGACCCTGCTGACACTACAGAAGAGGCTGAAGGAATTGATGGCTCTGGTATCACTATGGAGAGCCTTCGCCAGCAAATTGCCTTGCTCTAAGATAGCTTTTGATTGTTACCTGGATTCTATACTGTGGTTGAACCTTGACTTTGAATTTGCTCCTGATATTGCTTATGACTTTAAGTTGTGATAATAATTGATGGCCTCCCTGTTGCTTTAAGTGCTCTCTGCTTTGTTTCGCTCATTCTCATGTGTTTCGAGGTGCTTCAAGTTTTTGTGGTGTTGTCTTTTACAATGAGGACATTTTAACATTCGAGTGTGGGAGAGGGGAGTGTTTGTGCTCAATTGTTTCTATTTTGCCTCTACCTTTATTTTGGTTGCAGTAAGTAAGTATCTTGGTCGTAACAAAGTGCTGTCTCTTGTGTGTGTTGTCGTCCGTTTGATTGTTTTGTCGCGACCAGTGCCATCTTTAGCCGTGATAAAGTTCTATTTCTGTGCCTCTGTGATTATCTTGGTTACGGTAAATTACTGTGTTAGTCGCAACAAATATGCAATGTTTTCTATAAAAGCTATTTCTTATGCTGAGCAGAGGTCTAGCTGAAACTCACCCATATTTGGACTTTGACTACTTATTTTTGCAAGAAATTTTTTCCAGTTTCTTAAGTTGTATTCAAACCCTTTCAGTTCTTAACTTATTCATGGGTGGATGAAACTTTTCAAATGGTTTTCACTCTTTAATTTGCAATTTTAGTGGATTTATTCATGCATTGGGATTAATCTTGCACTCGATTGAGCATTGTGGATGAACATGAGAGATCTAACCTTGTTAGAAGTTATTTGTGGCCAAATTCCTTTCTAGTGCGACTTGTCCACTTGGGTTTACATTATGTAGAACTTGTTCTGGTTCTTTGTCAAAGCTTCGTATACATTGGTGTTTTAGATAGGATAAAGGCATTCATTTTTTTAAACCCTTTACCCAAACACAAGTTACTTTGTTTAACCCTTGTTCACCCCTTTGAGCCTTCTTCAATTCTAGGTACCAACACTTGTATGGTTTATCCAAGTTCCAACTACACTTTTTACTACTACGTTGTGATATTATACTTTATCTTTCTAGGGTTGGATTTGCCAGAGTCAAAAAAAAAAAGAAGAGAAGAAAATATATATATATATAAAGATAAATATATAATATATATATACACACTTATGGATCCATAAAATAAAAGTTTTGAATAAGGCAAACTCCTTGGTGGTTTTGAAGATTAAGGTATTGTGCTTTAAGGATTTCAATGTAAAGTTAGTTGGGAATCAATTATGGTTTTGGTGCTTGCTTTATTTCCTTTTTATCATTTCTTTCACTTAGCCTTCGTCCATCACTACATCCCTTAAAGTCCTTTTGATTCAACGCATCGTTGCATTCCTAGTGGAGATAGTAGAACCATTACAAGCTTATGGTTGTTTGTTTGGTCAAGTAGATTCGAGAGAAAAATGACCCAATTAAGGTGAGCTGAGCGATACACTCTTATCCTTTGAGTGATCTCTGATGCTTATTCTCTTTGGTTGATTGGTTGTTTTGGTTAAACACTTTGTATGGTCTTTCTCACTATTCTTACTTGTAAGAGGGTATTGCTTTTTAATTCGTCACTTTCATCCCATGGGTTAGTTGAGTTACTATTGGTCTTTGATGTATGCTTAATTGGTTGTGAGGAGCACCTGTTATCGTTTATGCCTGACTATAGTCTTTTCATAACTCTTGCTGTTCTCTTTCCATTTTGCTTAGGAGTGTAAATGTCTAAGTGTGGGGGAGTTGATTTGACCAAGTTTTATTGTATTAATTCATGTCCAATTACATGTTTTTAGGAAAATTGATTGGCTTAAAATGCATGTTTTGATATGAATTGTAGCAGTTTATAAATGTGGTTTTAAAGTCTCATTAAGCACTTTGTAGGGGCAAAACTATCAAATTGTGCATCATTTTAATTAATCAATGTTTACAAAATTGAATTAGATATTACAAGTGCTTAAATTGATTTTCAGGTCAAGGGTCAAGTAAAAAATATCTCCAAAGGACCTAAGTTCGAGAAAAATTATAGTTAAAGCCTAACAGATTTCAGGAATTCCAGAAAAGGCCCAACTAAAAGCAACTGTTCATTTTGATCATTTAGTCATGATGAAATGGATATTTGGTCATGACAAAAAGGACGCTGACATAGAATCAGGTTTTAAACCTCAAATTGCGATTTTGGGAAACATACCACACAACGTAACTGCCATTCACCGTCCATACACTCCCATTTTCGTCTCCTGCGGTTCTTTAAGGGTTCTTGGAGTTCTCTTATTGTTTTTCATAGATTTTCACCTCTTTCCTACCTCATTCCTTCAGTTTTCTTCATCATTCATTTTTCTACCTTTATCTGTTATGGCTGGTGCTGTGATTTCAGAGCTTGAAGGAGTTGTTTCTGACTCCATGAGAGGCCAGGATATTTTGCCTTAAGGAGTATTGATGAGGGCCTAAGCTTGGAGCTTAATTTAGGCAATTTCACTTCATCGTTTCCATTACTTTAATAGCATTTCAGTTATTCTTGGTTAGAATCTCTG